CCATGTGTGAAAGAAAATCTGTTAGCATGACCACAAGAGCTTTATTTATAATTTGATAGTTAATTTGTAGAGTCTTGAAGAGATTTAGGTGTAGTAACAACCGAAAATTTATTCTTGATTCTTCTTGCCTTCTGCATGCTTTTGGTAACCGGATATTTTTTAAGTTATGTCATTCGCAATAAAACTTGTCGGCAAAGGAATATGAAGGAGTGCAAAATTCATAAATTATGGCTATAAATAGCTGTATTGTTTACCTTTGTCATATTAACCGGAAACACGTTCAAGGTTGCTCGCGGAGTTTTTATAGCGACTAATATATTGCACAATCATTGTATTTAACTCAGAAAAGTTTAATTCGATCGATGAAATGCGACGGATCTTTGAGGTCTAAAACGGTCAGAAGAAATAAATACGTCTAGGACGTTGTATCCCTCATGACTGGACAGGTAGCCTACAATGCCAATGTCAAAAATGTGTGTTGCCGTAACGTCGAATTAATAAATCCATGAACTTGTTATTATATTCTGTTATTCGCATTGCCCATTTGGCAGAATTTTTGTCCTTTCATGCAAACCATTCAATTCATCGTATAAAACGTCATCTTTGTTGCATTTACATTGACTAGCTGCGACGTATACTGACATCTGTCCTTTATCTTTTATCTCTATATACAGCAATAATAATAATTTTACAGTAGTTTGCAGCTAATCGCTATTCTGTGAATAACTTTCAACTTCAATTGGTATTTTTCAGCAAAATTTGATTTGTCTCATAATAGTAGTATAAATTATAGCAATAAAAATACATAACATCGTAGTTTGCATGCGGCGTTTTTAGTACAGGCTCCACACACTCGCGGACCAAGAACAATGACATCTCTCTATGTCCTCTATGGTCGTCCATTTGTTTCAAAATTCGCTAAATTCAATTCGCACTCGCTAAATTCAATTCGCACTCGCTAAATTTACATTCGCACTCGCTACAAATTCCCCCCCCCCCCCCCTTAATTTAGCGAGTGCGAATGCAAATTTACATTCGCAGTCGCTAAATTTACATTCGCACTCGCTAAATTTACATTCGCACTCGCTAAATTCCTCCCCCCCCCCTTAATTTAGCGAGTGCGAATGTAAATTTGCATTCGCACTCGCTAAATTTACATTCGCACTCGCTAAATTGGAATTTAGCGAGTGCGAAGTACAAATTTACATTCGCAGTCGCTAAATTTGCATTCGCACTCGCTAAATTCCTCCCCAAGGGGGGGGGGGAATTTAGCGAGTGCGAATGTAAATTTAGCGAGTGCGAATGTAAATTTAGCGAGTGCGAATTGAATTTAGCGAGTGCGAATTGAACAAATTTACATTCGCAGTCGCTAAATTTGCATTCGCACTCGCTAAATTAAGGGGGGGGGGAATTGAATTTAGCGAGTGCGAATTGAATTTAGCGAGTGCGAATTGAATTTAGCGAGTGCGAATTGAATTTAGCGAATTTTGAAACAAATGGACGACCATAGAGGACATAGAGAGATGTCATTGTTCTTGGTCCGCGAGTGTGTGGAGTGCGAATTGAATTTAGCGAGTGCGAATTGAATTTAGCGAATTTTGAAACAAATGGACGACCATAGAGAGATGTCATTGTTCTTGGTCCGCGAGTGTGTGGAGCCTGTACTAAAAACGCCGCATGCAAACTACGATGTTATGTATTTTTATTGCTATAATTTATACTACTATTATGAGACAAATCAAATTTTGCTGAAAAATACCAATTGAAGTTGAAAGTTATTCACAGAATAGCGATTAGCTGCAAACTACTGTAAAATTATTATTATTGCTGTATATATAGATAAAAGATAAAGGACAGATCTCAGTATACGTCGCAGCTAGTCAATGTAAATGCAACAAAGATGACGTTTTATACGATGAATTGAATGGTTTGCATGAAAGGACAAAAATTCTGCCAAATGGGCAATGCGAATAACAGAATATAATAACAAGTTCATGGATTTATTAATTCGACGTTACGGCAACACACATTTTTGACATTGGCATTGTAGGCTACCTGTCCAGTCATGAGGGATACAACGTCCTAGACGTATTTATTTCTTCTGACCGTTTTAGACCTCAAAGATCCGTCGCATTTCATCGATCGAATTAAACTTTTCTGAGTTAAATACAATGATTGTGCAATATATTAGTCGCTATAAAAACTCCGCGAGCAACCTTGAACGTGTTTCCGGTTAATATGACAAAGGTAAACAATACAGCTATTTATAGCCATAATTTATGAATTTTGCACTCCTTCATATTCCTTTGCCGACAAGTTTTATTGCGAATGACATAACTTAAAAAATATCCGGTTACCAAAAGCATGCAGAAGGCAAGAAGAATCAAGAATAAATTTTCGGTTGTTACTACACCTAAATCTCTTCAAGACTCTACAAATTAACTATCAAATTATAAATAAAGCTCTTGTGGTCATGCTAACAGATTTTCTTTCACACATGGTTGTCTAGAACTCTTCATTTTTTGGATTATATATCTTTTGGTCCCGCGTGTCTATCGTTACAAAGCGTATATATATTACATATCTTGGACTTGGGATTTTTTGCAGCCTCATGTGGAGTGGTTTGATAATTATATTTGAATATCCTCACTGTATATCCGTGATCAAGCATTTTGCCAAGTTTTTGTGACTTTTGTTGGAATATTTTCTAAATAATTGTTGTTTTACTATTTTGGCCGTTGAAACGTTTTGAATTTTAATTAAATCCCGCCGGCGTCATTTGTCATGGTAACAACTAATCATTGAAGATTTGAATACGGAATAATAACATCGTACTTTTCTTGACGTCCCATACTGTTCATGCAACAGGTTTCACAAATCTCAACATTTTATTTGGTTCTGATGTTCTATCTTTATTTATACTACATTTGCATATTTACATATCTACCGTCAGTTTTGAATTATTCATTCTAGACTTTGGATGGTTTCTGTTTGAACTTTGACTTTAGTAATTTGAGATCTTTCTCATTGCCAAATCTCCTTCGAACAGCGTGTGCGGGGCTTTCCCCGGTATTATTCCATCAGCATGAGAGACCTAATCCTACTCAGAACAATCTATTTTATTCGTGCAGCTCGTTTCACGAACGATGACCGGAAAGCCTTGCTATACGCCACCACGAACGTATTAAGAGCTCCTAATTTTTCTCAAGCACGTCGTATGAGAAAAGACTCCACGTCGCTGTCAATATAGCCTGCGTGCAGGCCCAAGGAAACTGATAGTGGGCCTGCAACCATCACCCCATGTTTTCGATTTCGCCGGCCGAACCGCCGGCTAAATTCCCATTGGCTAGCTGAGGCGATCGGTAATTAATTAACCTAGCCCGCGTGCAGGGAACAGTGATTCATCACAAAGGCATAGACAAAGGCTCTCGATAAGCTTAAAATGTGAAAATTGATCACTTTTTTCGATTACAAATGGAACAAGAACAGACTGTTTATTGTTTACTTGAAGGAAGACATGTTTTTGCCGTTATGCCAATGGGGAATGCTTGTCGTGAGGTGTTGGAATAGCAAATTACGACTGGGGTAAACTATAGTAACCTTTACTTGAGTTTCATTAATTTCAAACAGACTTCAGTTGATACGTTATGTGTTCTCACTTCCTCAAGAAAATTATCTTTTGGTTGATGTTGAGATGCAGTTGCATGTAAGGACTGTAAGCCTATTCGAAACACTTTGCGATTTTAATACAAGGCTTCGCTGAGAGAGCGAAACAGAAGGCGGTATTAAATTGCCGTTTGAAACGAAACGATCTGGACTCGGAACGCTCTCTTCTTTTGTAGAGTTCTTTACCAAATGAAATAAATTTCGTACTTTCCGCCGCCAACAAGAATTGCACACACGATCTGATAAGTGAGACAATTTATTTATAACAATGCCAATGGCGACAGCGAAGCACACATAATATAAATCCTAATGTGGTCACACGACTTCCCTCATGATTTGAAGTTTGAGACTGGTTTCCTGTTGAAATTCGTCCTAATTTGCCTGTTCCGATTTTAGTTGAAAATGAGCACTTGCAAATTTGGCAATTACTGACTGCGTTGCTTGCTTTTTTGGAGTTAAAACGCTGCCATTTACACATTGTTTATGTTCTGAATAAGCAGAGAAAACCCCGCAACATTTTAATGCAAGTTTATTTGTTAATATTTGGGTGCTGTCATTGGTTCTTTTTTGACAATTGACGCGCGAATGGGGCGTGTTATGAAAAGGGGCGTATTACAAAATACCGGGCGATGGTTGCAGGCCCACTATCAGTTTCCTTGGGCCTGCACGCAGGCTACTGTCAATACAACGAACTGTACGCAATGCATCTACATTGTTGCAAAGGTCGTCTTTGCCATTACTGTTGGTTCTTCTGGCGAACGACGTGCATTTGAATCCTGGCCCATTCCATCCCAGACCTAGTGAAGACTCTCCATTTGGATTAAAGTTTCTCTATCTAAATGCGAGAAGTTTAAAGGCTTTTGCTCCACATGACAACACTGACGTTTACTCATCTAAAGTTTGTGATATCACTTTATTGCAGCAGCTTGTTCATGGCGCTTTTTATGACGTTGTTTGTATATGTGAAACTTGGCTCAATGAATCAATTCCAAGCAGTGAATTATTACCGGGATATTCTATTTTTCGTCGCGACAGAGTTGGGAAGGTTGGTGGAGGTGTTCTTATAGCTGTAAAAAATGGTATACAAGCAACTCGTCGACTGGATCTCGAGCCTGAAAGTAGTGAACTTGTTGCAACTGAATTAATTGCGTCAAATAAAAAAATATTTCTATTCACGTTTTACCGACCTCCTAACTCCACATCTGATGTTCTACAAGAACTGAATACCTCTCTGCAAAATACAACTGAGTCTAGCTGTGTAGTTGTCGTGGGTGATTTTAACCTTCCATCTATCGACTGGTCAACTGATCAAACTTCTCCTGTATTTACTGGAGCGAATGTGGACAACGACGCTTTTTGTGATCTAGTTGGAGACAATTTCCTCCATCAATTTATAATGGGCCCTACGCATATTGCTGGTAATAAACTTGACCTGCTGTTATGCAACTATCCTGAAACTATCGGAAATGTTTCTACACTCAAACCTCAATCGTGTAATTTTCCAACAGATCACTACGTCATAGAATTTCAGGTCAAACTAAAGTTTACGCGAGCCAAGCCAGTTAGGCGACGAGTATATGATTACAAACGTGGAAACTTCGGGGATCTGAGGAATTTTGTAACTCGTGTACCTTTCGATATTACCACGTCAGACAACATCGACCAGCACTGGTTACAGTGGAAAGATATGTTTTTAACTGCAGTTGAAAGTTACATCCCAGCTAAAACTATGAGTGATACTAACTCTCCACCTTGGATTGACGGGGAGGTTCGCCATTTAATCCGAAAGAAATACACAGCGCTAAAGAAATATCGTTTGGTCAAGTCAGATGCTCGAAAGTTGAAACTACGTACTTTAAGTCAAAAAATCAAATATGCTATCAGACGAAAACATAGCGAGTATTTAGCCAAAATTGAAGCCTCTTTTAAAGATAACCCTAAACTTTTCTGGAGTTATCACAAAGCTATCCTTCACCACCGAGAGAATCAGAGTCCTAAGATCACATACAATGGTACTACAGCCAAGACAGCAGCTGCAAAAGCAGAACTTTTTAACACGTATTTTTCCTCGGTATTTCTGCCGCCAAAATCTAATGTTAGTCCTGATGTAGATGATAATTCATCTCCTCTAAGCACCATCATGCAATTTTCGGATATTACACTCGGTGTTGAAGAAGTCGAGGCTTGTCTTCACGATCTTGATACGTCAAAAGCATGTGGTCCGGACGGCATTCCATCACGCCTATTGAAAGAATGCAGCCATGCAGGAAATCGCACCCAGCGTCTGTGCACTGTTCAACCAATCTTTAAATATTGGTCGAATTCCTTCTGAGTGGAAATCAGCTAACGTGACGCCCATCCACAAAAAGGATTTAAGAGAACTTGCAGAAAACTATAGACCGATTTCGTTGTTGCCAATTATCGGAAAGGTCATGGAACGCTGCATTTGTAACAAATTCTACGGTCATTTCAAGCAGCTCGTTACCAAGTTACAACATGGGTTTTTACGAGGTCGCTCGTGTGTCACACAGCTTCTTTCAGTTCTCCACTCAATCGGACAATGCCTTGATAAAAACGTCCAAACAGATGTTCTTTACCTTGATCTCGCCAAAGCGTTTGACTCTGTCGATCACCAAATTCTTCTTGAAAAACTGAAATCCTATGGTGTTACGGGTCAACTACATAACTGGTTTGCTGACTACTTAAAAGACCGTTCTCAAAGAGTAGTAGTGGATGGTGTGGCATCTCAATGGGCACCTGTTACATCCGGAGTGCCACAAGGTAGTATTTTAGGACCAATGCTCTTTGTGGTGTTCATTAACGATCTTCCTGAGTCTATACCAGACAAAACAACTGCTGCTTTATACGCAGATGATACTAAGTTGTACAGAAGCATCGTATCAGTAGCTGACTGCGAAGATCAACAGCAGGCTCTGAATAACCTTGATACATGGAGCAGTGTCAATAACCTTAAATTTAATGCATCTAAATGCAAGGTGTTGACCGTGACAAGAAAGAGAAGTCCAATATTTCACACTTATCAACTCGGTTCTAAGGAACTGCTTCGTGTGGGGCAAGAAAAAGATCTCGGTGTTACTTTAACTAGTAACCTCTCTTGGGACACTCATATTAACGTTATCGTCGCCAAATCCAACAAGCTGCTGGGTTTATTAAAGAGAACTTGTCCCTTGTTGACGGACGTTAAAGTTAGACGTACGTTGTATCTGTCACTCGTTAAATCACAAATCAGCTACGCCATAGAAGTTTGGTCTCCAGTCAACATACATCTCAAATCAAAGGTTGAGAAAATTCAAAGAAGAGCTATACCGCTTGGATTCTGAAATCCAAACAAGGCGAGATACCTTACCAACAGAGGCTGATAGCTCTTAACCTACTGCCACTATGTTACGACAGGGAAATTAAGGACTTGGTATTTTTCTACAAGGCGCTATTTGAACACTTAGATTTGATCGTTTATGATTTTGTTTCTTTCGTTAATAGTGATCGCACCCGACTTAGTCAAAATCCATGTCTAACTCTTAAAGTTCCTTTTTGTAAAACCAGAACATTCCAAGCATCCTACTTTAATCGAATAGTAAAACTATGGAACACAACCTGTAAAATACTTCCCTCATCTAGTTTCTCGAGTATTTCAACTTTCAAATGTTCAATAAAACTCATGTATCATAATTTAAATACTCAAATTTTTGATGTTGATCAACCGTGTACATGGACCCTCGTACGTGCTTGCTCCTGCCATAGGACATAAACTTTTCTTAGGAGAAGTGCCCCGCATGGGACTTGGAGTCCCGTTCGCACTTTTCCCAAAAAAACAAACAAAAAAAAACAAAAACTTTAAGTATTCTACTTTAACCCTAAAAGTGTTTTAGACACCAGGTAGGTTGCACTTTTGAGAATTTTTAGTTTGAATTTTGTACCTAATCATTAGTTGTTCGGCGAACGAAAATAGTAGGCTTAAAATAAGATGTACATTCAAATTCTTTCAACATTCTAAAAGAAGAAGAATATGTCTCAATACGCTGAAAAAAGTTTTTAATTTGACGCAAAACTTCCCGAGTTATGATGCACAATTTAACACATATTTGACCGCCGTTTTCGGGGTCAAATTTCAGTGTCGCTGACGTCCAGACAAAAATTCGTCGTAACTCAAAAAAAAAGAAAAATTTAGAAATTCTAGTATTAGTTTAATACCTTTTAGGACAAAGGTAGTTCATGGTAAAAATATAAAGGAAATCTAATTTTCAACCTGAAACGCTCTGCATGGTTCGATACGGTTGATCATGCTCTGCTCCTGGCAAAACTTGAACGATGTGGAGTAAGAGAAACACCTCTCAAATTATTTAAATCTTACCTACATCAGAGAAAACAAGTTTGCAAAATAAACAATGCCGTGTCGGATACAGTTGAAATTCACTGTGGCGTCCCACAGGGGTCAAACCTTGGTCCTTTACTATTCAACTTATATATTAATGACCTTCCAAACTGTCTACAGACAACCAAGGCTTCCATGTTCGCGGATAACACCAACCTTTCTTATAAGGGGCAATAATCTGCAGACATTGAATGCAAATTAAACTGCGACTTAAACAACATTCAGAAATGGCTGATAAGTAATAAGTTAACATTAAACCTTACGAAAACTGAGTATAAGCTTATTGGATCACAACAAAGTTTAGATAAAATCCTCGAAACTCCAAATATACTATATGGCGAACATCAGATAAAAAGGGTAAGGGAAAAAACTGTTCTTGGACTCATAATTGATGACCAATTAAAATGGAACAGACACAATGATGAACAGTGTAAAAAAATCTCAAAAAGCATAGCCCTTTTACGAAAAGCTAAAGACTTTGCTTCGCAAGAAGAATTAGTCACAATTTATAACTCAATAGTCTTACCACATTTTAACTATTGCTCTACTATTTGGAATGATAATGACAAATCTCATATCGATAACTAATGGAAAATACAAAAGAGAGCTGCACGGGTTATAACTAGTTCTGACTACGCTATTAGATCATCCCAAGTTTTTGAAACCCTTCAATGGCATCCAACAAAAAATCTCATGGGCAAACGAGATCTAACAATGATGTTAAAAGTTCTAAAAAACATAGCGCCTAATTACTTAACAACATTGTTTCGTAAATGTGACAATTCTAATTATTCATTACGGAGCAACAATTTAAAATTGAGCCTTCCTAAGCCAAAAACAGATTTTTTAAATCGTGGGACTGTCGCGTGGAATAGTCTGCCCTCTGAACTTTTGCGAGTGGTAGACGAACCTCGATCTATTTTTTCTTTCCGTAGCTTGATTAACAATTATTATAAAACTTTGTAATAGCTTGTATATGTTGTGGCCTAATATTTTCACTACTTATAAATGTTGTAATGCTTTTTAGACACACGGCCCTTTCACACAAGTGAAAGGCTACCGTGTTTAAATATCTTTAAATAATACACTGTAAAAACTGATTGGTTAAAATGACAAATTTTTTAGGTTGCAACCATTGGCAATTGGTCATTTTGACCAATTGTTTAATTAGTTAGTCGCATTTGACCAATTAGATTTAGTTCCTTTGACTATTACTTAATTGGTCGAAAAAATTGGTAATCTTTCGACCAATTTATAAAAGTTATTATAACCAACTTTTTATTGGTCATTTAGTTGAGTGTACCGGCACTGTTAATTTCAAGGAGATATTTTAACTCCACTGAGAATTAAAAATTTGGAGTGAAAATTTTGGAGTTAAATTTACTCCAAAAATGAAATTAAAACTATACTTCAGTCTTCGATATGTATTCGAACATATACTCCACTGAGGGTCCATTTAACTCCATTTAAAGGAGTAAAATATAACGGAGTAAATTTATAATCCCGAGCCGACGGCGCGAAACGCCGTGGGAGGGTACTAATCCCCCCGGCTATTTACACCCGGGGAAACGAAAGCATTAGCGGAGTCTAAAGTTCATCAATTATCGCAGGCGCTCACCAACGGTGTTGGGTGGGTGGTCATCACTGATCTCAGAATATGGCTGTTTGCCAGGAGTGAAGAAAGCAAAAATATAAAAAAATACATGTAAGAAAGCTTGGAAAATCGTTTCACATAACAAATTGTACAACTTTTTTGCAATTTTTAAACGTAAACATTTATAGGAATTGATATTGTATTATAAATCCTAAAGTACAGGGCAAGTTTGCTTCAATTGTTTATGTATGACTTTGTATTTAGTATAGACTTTGTTCTTGATGTTCAAGTCTTTCCCTATGCATTCTTTGCGAAAGTTTCTTAGTTAAATTAACTTTTGTAGAAGTTCATGATAAAAAGGAAAGCAAATTATTTTTATTAGCGTCCTGTACGAATTAAATTTGTTTCATTTCAAAGTGCGAGTAATAAGTTGAAGCTCGAGTTGAGAAGTTTATAAATATCGGCAAAAAGCAGTTAATTTCAATTCACATTTAAAAACGTTTTACGTAGAGTTTCGTTTTGAATTTTACATTAAAATAAATTAAGCCCATAGAAACCAAAATATTATACCTACTTTATATATTTCAGAAATTGATAGTTCTGCATTTAAAAGTGTTCAAATTTCATCTATTTTCTCCCGGTTTGTACAAAAAATTAAAAAAACAATATCGTTTTGCCATGAGCAAAGATTAAGTATATAAAGATGGCCGACTCGCGGAAAATTCCTTTGTTCTCGGTGTCCCCCGTTTCGAAAGTCCACGCGGTTTCCACGCGTTTCGTCTGGTAAGCGCCAAACCAAATTTTTGTATTGAAGTTAATGGCGAAATGCCGAATTTTCGCAATAAAACAGCGATTTTAAAAACATCTGCCGTCCGATCTTTATTTTGAGGACAAAATTTGAAAGAGCATGTCAAGCTGCGTCTGTTAAACGGAAAATTATTACACGAATATGTTTAAAACGAACGAAAATTTGGATAAACGACCTCCGAAGGAGTGAGATCTTATACTGTCAACAAGTCAGGTGAGATTCTTTTCATTTCTTGATCGTTTTTCGATAGTGTTTTGTGAAATTTCGTACCTTAGACAACAGATGCATATAGGACTATTGCTAACTGACACTAAAAACATGTTTGGGATGCGTATAACTAGAGTTTTTATTTACTGTACAGATTACAAACAATATACTAATACAAACAATATTCAAATATATAGAAATATTATTTTGTTAGGCTAGTACCAAAATGTTTCCTTATACACAAAGATAGTAAAAGCATTTAGACCTGAAATATATCTTTGAGACCAAACACTATACTGTTAACTGAAATATTGGGGATTTGAATTTATTGAATTAATGAGTTAGGTACCAATATAAACACATTCCGATGCTTAAATAAATAACAATATCAGTTGTCCAGGTAGTGTACTAAACCAATGACTTGCATTTATAGTCAGTAAGCATTATTTTGTATATAGACATTATTTGTTTGACCATTGACGGTCCCTCCTTATAATAAATACAACGTCACACTGGTTGTCTCTGTGTGTGCAGCTGTGTTTCATCCAATTGTATTTCTGTAAAATACACTAATACACTTGTCATCGGAAACATGCACCACTCCACCCCAGGGGAAACATGGGCATAAATAGACTTTTTAGAAACTAATGAAAGAAAAAGCCCCACACATAGGGGCAAGCAAAACAGGCCAAAGCCACTTCTAGAATAACACATTTAGTAAAAGTTTCAAACATGGAATATTTAAAGTAGAATGATGAATAACTTTAAACATAGAACACTAACATGGCTTCTTGTGCAAAAACACCAGTCGTCCATTCGACAATTAGCCAGCGGGCAGCCCCATACCGCAGGCTATTCGACAATAGGCTACCCATAGGATTATGGATAGCCCACATGTAATCATGCCTAATCTTGTCCTCAAACTACACCTCTCACCTCCCACTCACCCATGTTCCCCGGGGTTGGTGTGTGGGTGGTGGTGGTGGTGGGGGGTCCAATGAAAAGTGCATAATACATATAGCAGATTTATGACAGACAAGGTGCTTGCTACAAAGACAATTTCTTGAGTTTAATAGTCCAAATAAGTAATAACACAACATGCACATTCAAAGTTGAAGGTTTTGAAAGGAAATTAAATTACTGGCATGTATTTCATCATATTTTGTGTCTTTTGTGAATATTCGTTTAATGGTTTGGTTTAAAAACATAGTAAAATTTGTGTACATTAGTGAATGATCAATACTAAAATACACAATTTAGTTTTTCAAAGGCAAAAACGTAATTCATTCCAATTTATCTCGTTTTATACATGTATTCCTAATATGTTTTGATAATTTCA